CTGTCAGAACAGTCTGAAACCATTCTATGGGACTGATAACCACTAATAACGTCCATTTAATGGACTGATAACATCCGAACCGGCTGGTAATCAAAGTTAAAGGTGGTCCAATGAAATATTAGTGTGTGACCCCTTTCTTTTTGGTGGCAACTTTTTTTTTTCGACAAGGCAGTGTAATTTCATATAATAGGTGATTTAAACAAGGCATTGTTTTAATTTGGGGTCTTAATTTTTGTCTATTTATTCTTTTTATTGGAAGAGAGGTTGGTCTAAGCTTTAATAAAAATCCAATCATGTTATTTAATAAAAGCAGTTGACAGAAGTCTGCAGAGCAGCTCTGCCGAGTCTTGCTGGCGTGTCATGTCCGACGACGTGTTTTGGACAGACCGACACTGATAGCCTGACAAGACGTGTGACCGACGTGTCAGCTTCAGGTTTCTCTGAGGCATCGACCGGCTGACCTGCAGCCAGAAACCCCTCCAGTTCAGAACCAAGATCCTTTCCACTTCACACACACACACACACACACACACACACACTGAGAATAACAGCACACTGCGGGGTTTCTGTCGAAGGCAAATAAACAGATGAAATGGAGGAAAAAACAAGGTAAAGAAATGTGGTGGACTTACACAGCCATCGTGTACGTTTAGAGTCGCTTCAAGTTTTAGCCTCTGAACGAACTCTCTTCTACCTGTGAAAAGACAAATGTATCTTTTAAATGATCAATTTGATTCATTTTCAAGAGGAAAAAAAGCATCAGTCCTTTTGTTCTACCATAATTTCAGTTTCTCTCATCAACATATACTGGTTAGTAATTCAGGAAATGCTGAATTTCAAGACAACAACTCTGCTGAGCTGGGTTTAAACTAAACAAAGACTGGAGTTTGATTCATTTTAACCTTTATTCTTATTTTTAGTTCCACTAAGAAGTAATATCTACATACAAAAAATTGAAAACATTGGTGAATGGTGCTGTAAAGTTGAAGTTCACCTCTACAATTTAATATTAAATACTAAATAATACCCTACATTTCACACAGTCTGTAAGGAATCCAGTTAGGGAAAGTGCAGAAAACTGAATAAAACATTTCCCTGTGTGAAGTTATAGCTGCTACATTCCCATATTTACTGTGAGAATGCTGGTTTGGGCTTTCAATAAAAGTTGTTGAGGTTGTTTATTCAAACCACAGACTGGACTTGGATCGCCAAGTTTTATCAGAGTTGCTGGAATCTGAAACATGAAGTCGTTTTCTCAGATTGTTTCCAGTCACAAGACTGTCCCATCAGCAGTCAGCTCCAAAATACTATCAATACAATCAGAATCCGACTCTCACAGGAGATTTGTTTAAACGATCACATTTGTTATCTGAAACTGAGAGCAGAAAAAATTTCATGCCCACTAATCAGACACTAAGACCTACACTTGAATATTTCCCTGAATTTGTTAGTTGTGTAAATTACGTAACGAGTCATAGTCATCCATCACAKCCTCCTTTTGAAACGTAATATTTCCTGCTTAGATTGAACCTTTTCCAATAAATGTAATACCTTCTAATACTTTCATTTTTGCTTGCATTTATGATAAAACATAACATTAATTATCTTTCAGGTGRACAGAGTGGAACTTTAAAACGCATTTGTAAAAGCTTTTTATGTCAAAATACTTATAAATTTGCACGGGGCTTTTTTATATCATTGCTGAATGTGTTAGGCAATAATATTTTTTGCCTGTCCCATTGTGTTGGTGTGTTACCAAAGTGTCTCATGAACCACTGGAGGACTTTTGATGAAAGTAATAATTGGATGAACAACTATAACCTGTGWAGTCATCTCAACACAATGACTGGCACAGCGAAGGACACCTAAATCACCTAAAAATGAAAACAGCTCAACCAAATTTACAGATGTTGAGTTAAAATTGGGTGTGGCAGTAGCTGAGACTGGTCCCAAAATATAATCTGAACACTAACAGGTTATGCAAGATCGTTGACTTTGACAGAGTTGTAAAGTAACTAAGTACAAATACTTTGTTACTGTACTTAAGTAGAAATTTTGGTTATCTGTACATTACTTGAGTGATTATTTTTCAGCCTACCTTTTATTTCTACTCCTTATATTTTTACACAATTATCTGTACTTTCCTTATATTTTTAAAAATGTTAAGAAGTAGAAAGTCATTTCTCCTATTTCATTTTGGCTCATTATTGTTAAAAAATACTATCCTGAAAACTGTGGCTCCTGGATACAGTGAATTTTAATGTGGTTGAATGAGAAGTATAAATATACCATTCTGATACTGTATTTAGTTTGTACACAATCCAACGCCGCACGTCTTTAGAAAAAATATTTTTTGGAGATGTCACCATTTTGGAAAATCTAACCGTTCATTTTTACTAAATACTTTTACTTTTATTACGTCAAGTACATTTTATGACAGAAATTTACTTTTGATACTTTACAAAACACATCAGATACTTTAAGACTTTTACTCAAGTAATATTCTTAAAAGAGACTTTAACTTTTACCAAAGTAATTCTATGATAAGATGCTTGTACTTTTACTCAAGTTTCACTTTCAGGTACTTTATACAACACTGGACTTTAATGTGAGCCAGCAAATTGTTAATTTATAGTTAAAATTACCACAAGTTTTATCACGTCATGTTTTTTGTCCAGCTGGCAGCTCAAACCTTAGACACACACACATAGAATCAGTTGTAGTTCACTGGAGTTTTCTATCAACCTGACTGCATGTCTCTGTTTTTCCTCTTATGTTTGACCCCAACTTGTCATTTCTAACTGCTCCCAGAACTAAATATATCTGATAAGAGCGCACACATCCCCACACACAAACACAGCTCAGACTTTATCTCAGCCGGCCTAAAAACAGCACCGACTAAACCTCTGAGGCACCAGCTCCGCATCGAAGTGCTCATATCTCCCCATTCAACCTTTGTATGACACAACCCATGATCAATTACCACATCCCAGCAGCTGTGTCCGGCTGCTTACAGCGACGACAACATTTTAGCTTTACTCGGATCAGCTGAGAGGATGCTTTGATTCAAACAGATCAGACTGATCATCTTCTCATTCTGTCTTATATTAGATGTGAAAATAAAAGCAACAACTCGACAAACTCGGCTGCAAACTGAATATTAAAAAAACTTAAATCCTTATGATGTTGGCATTTGCTTCAGATGTTTTATAGGGAGCATAAAAACTGAAAGCTTCTGTTTAGTTTTGTGTGTTAGGACACAGAACAGAGCAGCTGGCAGCCGGCGTGTGGACAAATGCTTTTACCTAGAGTTATAGGTCAGATTATCAACATAATCTGAACTTTTCGGACAATTTTAACACAAAGGAATGGAGCAAGGGAAATATTTCAACAAAATAACCAGTTTAAATATTATTATTAAATCTGATGTTTGAAAATTTGCATTAAAAAATCAAGATGAATTGTTTACAATGTTACACAAGACAACTCAAAAGTCCCCAGGAGAGTTTACCAGGCTGTAGAGGAAACAAATCTGGATGATTGAGGTTTCTGAAACTGTTGTTTAAAATATTCTAACAGCAAATCATAAATCACYCGTTTACAACCTAAACACAAATCATCCTGTCTGTTTGGCATCTGGAAGCCACCGCTTCCAGCTGGTTTTCCAAAACAAATGAAATTATGCACTGACAGACACGTGTGTGGTATCCTGAGTGAAAACAGGATTTCACTCAGATTAAACAGAAAACTCAAGATCAAACTGGTTTGATCTACTTTCATAGTGTGTTGTTACATTTAAGGTTTGTTTACAAGATTCTGCAGAACTGGAAAAAAAAATCAGAAACATGATAAAACACACCAAGAACACTAAAAGGGTTTAACTGTGGTKTGATTACATTAGGAAGTCTATGTAAGGCTGGATTTGAGAGTTAATTTTCACATTTATGGAGCTGCAGCCCAGGATTGATCTCTGACACAGTCCTGTAACAGCACTGAAATTACATTTGCAGCTTCTGGCTGTATCATATAATATAATAATATTGAGTGAAGAGATGAGCGTGATCTCTYGTCTGACAGAGCTACTGTGTTAGGGATTATACATAATCTAAAGAGTTAAGGGTTTTAGATAGCACAGCTCCTCTTAAATCGTGATAAACTGGATCCACTGCTGGCTTTACACGGGAGAAGCTGTCATTAAAGAAGCATGGTCTTACTCCTTCTCATTCAGCTCCACAATCTCACTGTCTCTGCAGACAAAAAGTTATTTTAACACGTACTGTCAGCGTTAGCATAAACCACTGTTGTTTTGTTCTTACCTAAATAGTTGGTCCTGATGGTGTTAGGTACACCGTATCCGATTAGACGTTTATTAACATCCCAAACCAGGTTTCCAGTGCAGGACATGGTAAGAAAATGTCTTTATTTCTGATTAACAATAACATTTAAACTGAGCTAACCCTACTACTGGCGATGTCGTCTTTTATTTATCGCTGCTGTCAGTGTTTTTCAGTCCAGTCCCCTTCTCTGTCGGGACGGCGCTAGCTGGCGTTCAYCATTGTTGGGAGGGAAAGGTACACACTTCTGACAGGTCCCCGGTTCCAGTCCAACTGTGTCCCTGCTCTCCGAGGTGCTGCCTATCTGTCTAACTAGCCTAGCCTGCTTTATTTCTTTCTGCYGACAGCTGTCAGCTGTGCCAAAACAACGCGAGAAAATGCGTGATTTGGCGGAGAAGTTTGGTGCGTTTGTTTTTAAAAGCCAGCACAAAATTGGGGCGGAGACAGTCCAAAAACGTTTCCATTTGTCTTAATTGACATACTTTTCACTTGTGTATTGTTTATAAT